GTTGCAAGATGTAAAATGTTAGGTATTAATGTGTCATCAAAGAGAAAATTCACTTCTCTTCATCTGAGGAGTATCCCTGAGAATTGACCTCCATCACATCTGAAAAAAGACAATATACTTTAAACAAAGTCCTTGTTCTTTTAGATGCACAGACATATCCACACTTTTCTCATTCTTGACTGACTGCCCAATATTTTGATTCTGACAGAAATGGAACCCAAAATGTGCCCTTGTGTAAAAAAGAATGCTCGCAAACGAAGACTTCCAGAGGCTATAAATTGGGAAGAGAAATTCCAGGACCTTTCCCAAAACATTGGAAATGGAAAGTGGAAACAGCTTGGCCGAGTGTTGGGGGTTAGTGATAACAAAATAAAGGAGATCGAACATGACTGCTGCATCAATAAAGATGGCTTGTATGAAAAATCATATCAAGTGCTTTTAGCATGGAGAGATCTCTACCCAGATCGTTGCGATCTGAATACTCTCTCTGGGGCATTATGCAAAGTGGGGCTCGAGTATGTTGCAAGACAATACTGTTTTGCTTTAGAGATGGGTTGATATCACCCATTGTTATTTGAAATCATGTTGTAAATACTGATTGAGAGGAAGTAGTCAAACAATGACTCAAGAGGTCATTTCAACAGTTTATTTTTGTCCTGGTGATAGAAAAATATTGTACTATAAGTGGAGTGAGGTAGGGAACTGAAGAAAAATTCATTTTGTTCTCTTAAAAGAACAGATGTTGTATTCTATGACCTATTAATGAGATGTAAATTTACATTAATTAGCTTTAGATGCACTTTTCTATGGTCTCATACTTCTCCATGAGTAGAACACACCTCTCAATAATGAAGGAGATATCTGATTACACAAGATTAGCATGCCTAGTATGTACATTAAGCTGTAAATACTTATTTCCGTGAAATAATCTTTTATGTATTGATTGTGGGAAAGCCAACCAATATTTTCTGTACATCAGATGTGTCATACATTGCTTCATATCAAACAACTTCTTCCAGACATACACCATACAGTTAACCTAAGATATCATTAACATCTGATCCAATATTTGTACATGTGTGACAGTAATCAACCCTCAAACATTTTGAGCCGTTGTTAAGACTTGGCTAAGAAGACTTACTTCAACTTTCTTTCAATTGCTGTAGTTTTAGTTTTTCTTTTTTTATTATATTTGAAAAATTTAGGCTTGCTTTTTCAATGCATGCAAATGAAAAGTGTAGTAAAGCTATTGGTACTTATTTTTTTATTATTAAATTTTAGTTTGTAACCATCCTGAGAGCTGGTCTCAGCTGAAATACTCTGCAAGTCAGAGTAGATTTACATCAGGGTGCTTTTAGCCTCACAGAGAGATATTAGATATGTATTGTTAAGTAGTATTTATTAGATAGTTTGTTTATTTTCCATCATTTTTAACTGTTTTCAAAGACAAATCCACTAACTCATGTAAAGCATGAAGGTTTTTGTACCATGTTTTCTAAGTTTGTAATTTGTAATTAGTACACTTGTTTGTAATACAAAAAAGAAGGAAGGAAGTTAGTTTAATATGGAAAAATTTCTATAGAAAAGGGTAAAAAATACAAATGTAATATTTTTATCAGTAAGAAGCTTTGGAACCATTGTGAACTTAGCTAAAAGAAGAAAATGTGTAGAGTAATAAATTAAAGTTAATGTGAACAACAAAGAAATAAAGCAGAAAAAAATTGTTTCTTTTGTTATTCAAGGTCTTCTGTTTGTTTGTTTTTTGTCCTTCCATCAATTTCTTCTGCAAACACAGTTTTGAGTGGATCCAGTAGTTGTGGAAGTTTTGAAAAATTGCTTGAGTGAACCTGTCAAAAAAGTCAATCAAGAAAGAAGTATGTTTCTATTAATATCTGCCTGGCTGGGAAATTAAGCAGAATGGACAATCACTATAAACGTGGGGAATGCAGAACTCTGATCAATAATACCTCTTCCTAACTGAGTTTGAGGTCCATAATGTAAGTTTCAGAACACATTTTCCACTTGGATTTATGGCCAAAGCACATAATACATAAGCCATAAATCTGAGCAAAAAAAAAAAGGTTCTGTAACTTACAGTACAGACCAACAAAAGAAGCTAGCAAGATATCATTTTATCTCTAGGTTCACATAAAAGAGGAAGATATCAATCAACCCTTTACACCCCAACATCAGTATGCAAATTCTCCATGCTATGCTCTATACATTTCTTAAGGTGCAGACAAGGAGAATTTGTTTAACAATCAAGAGCATCTTTAGTCGGTGATCATTTCCTTTATTCTTGTGACCTAAATGTGTGAAATTTCCTTCCTTGGATACATTAAACTAAACATGTCTTCCTCTCAGGAAGGCATGAGATCAAAATGAGGCTGTAAGGGATACCTGAAAATTTAATTTTTCTTCTTGTAATAAATTATTATCCATACAAGACCATGTAAAAAAATATCTTTGATCAGGAATTTCAAACACTTTATCCAAACGCGGCCATTGGCTGTGCCAGTAAAAGGGCTGGAAGGGAAAACCCAAACATGAAGGCTGCTTGTAGGCTAAAAAGATGACAGTACAAGGTCTCACAGACTGTGGTAGACTGCCATTAACCAGCTTTGAATAAAACCCTTGCTTGATTAATCCATAGTTTTTACTGTACCTTCATGTGATCAAATGCAATGCCTGTACACCTTGTAAATTGTTCACTGAACACTGGGATTTTAGGATAACGTTGACTAAAGTGATTCAATATGATAAACTTTGCACCCATCTTCATACCACTTTCAATTGCCTCAGTAGTTGTACTGGTCAGAAAGAAAACACCTTAAAATTTAACAAACAAACAACCAAAAAGAAAGAAAAGTAACAAATAACAACAACAACAACAAGCAACTCAGGATGGAAAAAGGAAAGTTCACTACACAATTACTGATTTTCATATCTTAGAGCAAAGGAGATGCCACTCCCTTAATTCACAAAAAAATCTAAGTCATACATTGTTGATGGCTTGATGTACAATTTATTTCCAAACAATATAACAATGCACTTAAAAATCACAATTGTTCTCTCCCTTGAGAAAAAAAGTGTTTGTTTTACTTTCCCTTGTTCTTTACCTTTTACACACCCCCCCCCACCCTCTCTCCCCCTCTGTCTTTTGTCAAACTTGGGCCAAATCTTTGTGTGGACTTTAAATTTGCATTTTTTTAACCTACTGACGAACTGGTGATATTTATAGTTTTCTCATCGGTTTGAAGTTGAGCGATCCTTCAATTATTTCATTGTTCCCTGACCAATCATCATTACCAAACCTGTGCTTTTTCTCTAGAGCTTCTTTTATCAGTTCATCTTCAAGAGTGGCTTCATGAATGAGGAGATCAGCATCTGTTCCTGAAAAATATTAATAACACTTTGAATTATTGTTGTACACCTGAATTAATCGCCACAATGTTGAATTATTCTGACTAACAAAGAAAATTTAAGATTGATCTAGCCTGTTTTGCTGACAGCCTATACAAAACTGGTATAGTTTAAACCATGAATGTTTTACCTAGAAGGTTCACACATCTGGCTGTACTGCAAGATAGATCAACCTTACCAACTGGAGTTAAATTTCAGGGTGGTTTGCTGCCAAAGCTATAGGAAACTGCCCTGCACCAAGAAAACTGGTAGCCTTGGAGGGGAGCAAGCCACCTAGCTCAAGTGTACAAGAAAGGAACCATCTATTTTTGGATACATCTCTTCAGCCCTTGTGCCTCCTCCCACCCTTGCAAATGACTTACCAGCCTTAATCAGTGCTAGGCATGGTCGTGTATCGCCAGAATAAACAATCTTCCAGCCTCGTATGTGTGTCAATACCAAGCCATAGGCCTGTGGGCAGTGATCTACAGGCACTGTTAAAACCTGAAAAAATAAAAAAACCCTCAACATTATTTCTGAGCACTTAACTCACAAATTATACATAGTTCTAGGCCACTATCGTTTTCTGTAACCACACAAATACACTGCATGTTTTGCTATTATTAATTATATTGTCTGCAATTCTGCATCCCACTTTTTCTGATTCCTTCAAGCTAGAGACCAGGAGACTACTTTTACATTAATCTATTAATAAATATTTTGAAACTCACCTCCTTTGCATCTAAGTGATGTGTAACAGACCAGTAATCTTCATACAGGCCTTTTACAGCTAAGTCCCTGCTGTCCACAAACCTAGCATGAAACAATTTCATGAAAAGCATGATCACCTTTGGCTACATGATTGTCTAGTCATATGTTTTGTAGCTTAACATTCGTAATGAAGTTTTTTTTTTAATTTGTTGATCAATGTACTTTTTAGCAGTCAATAACACAATTATATTAAACAATGATTCTTTCCTTGTTATTGACTTGACAGGAGCAACTGATAAGTAATATTTCTCAAGAATTAAATTAAAGACTTGGGTGGAGAGTGACATTTGGTATTAAA